CAGTATAATATTCAGAATCAGCTTGTCAATTTCTACAAAATTGGGATTGCTTGCATCTGTGGATCAATTTGTGAAGAACTGCCATCTTAACAATATTGAGTCTTATAATCCATGAACTAGTGGCATTTCTGTCCACTTCTTTCTGTATTCTGTAACGTTCCTCAGTAATATTTTATAATTTCCAGGGAAGAGATCTTGCTCACGTTTTGCGAATTTTATTCCCATGTATTTTATGGGCTTTGGTTCCACTGTAAATGGAAAATCTTAAATTTTATTTTCCAGAATTTTGCTGCTAGTTTTAAAAATATAATTGATTTTTTAAAAGTAACTTTATACCCTGTCACTGCTGGATTTGTTATTTCTAGGATTTGCTTTGTAGATTCCTTAGGATTCTCTATGTAAAAAGTCAGATCATCAATAAAAAGAGACAGTATTGCTTTCCTCCTTTCTGATACTTACGCCTTTTATTTCATTTATTTTCCTTCATTGCAATGACTAGGACATTCAGTCCAATACTGAATAGGAGTAGTGAGAGCAGACATCCCTACCTTGTTTCTAATTTTAGAAGGAAATCATGCAGTTTTCTCCATCATAGAATCATTTTGTCTGTTCTAGAACTTCATCTAAATGGCATACAGTATGTGCTCTTTTTTGTATAAGGCTTCTTCCTCTCAGTGTGTTTTTGAGATTTATTCATGTGGTTGCATGCCTAAGTAATTTCCTTCCTAGCAAGTGTTGATTTTTTTAAAAGCAACTTCTCAAAGCATAATTTACATATTACAAACTATAGCCAAATATGATCAAATACGATAACTGTAAGATTTTTGTAAGTGTCCTTTATCAGATTGAGGAAATTCCTTCTATTCATTGTTTATTAATAGTGTTGAATTTTTTGTCAATATTTTTTTCCACATCTATTGAAATAATCAGTGTTTTTTTCTCCTTTCTGTCAATGTGGTGAATTACATTGTTTTTTAATGTGAAACTAATCTTACATTCTTGGAACATATTCTACTTGGTCACACTGTAGTATATATTTTTCATATATTTCTTGATTTGGTTCACTATTATTTTCTTAAGGATTTTTGCATCTTTGTTCCTGTTGAATATTTGCCTGTAGTTTATTTTGTTGTAATGGCTTTGTCAGGTTTTGGTATCAGGATAACACTGGCTTCATAAAATTGGTTGTGAAGTGTTCCCTCCAACATAATGTTCTTTCTTCTTTGAATGTTTGAGAGAATTCAACAGTAAAAGCATTTGAACCTGAATTTATCTTGGTGGGGACATTTGTTCAATTTTGTTAAGTTGCATTTTTCAATAAATTTTTCCTTTGTTTAAGTGGTCAAAGTTTTTGCCACAGAGTTATTCGTTTTATTCTCATCTCTGCCTTTTATGCTTGCAGTGTTTATTCTGTTAACTTTCAATGTAATTATTGATATGTTGAATTTAGGTTACCATTTTATTAGTTTTGTATTTGTCTACTATGTTTCTTATTCCTATTTCCCTTTTCTTACCTTTTAGAATTCCATTTTAATTCATCTGTTGACTTCTTATCTATTCTTCTCTGCTTGTTCTTTAGTGATTGCTCTAGGGATTAATCCTGTTAGACTCAAATTGCACATTTGGTCGCACCTGCTGTGGGTGGCAGCTTTGATCCCAATTCAGACACTGCTTTGAGTCTGCCCCATGTGTGTGGTACAAACCGTAGCAGAGTTCACATACAGAATTTGGGATTTTCCTTTGCTTACTCTCTCCTTCCAGTGTGTTTGTACACTCTCTGGTGGCCCTAATTGTCACTGACTCCTTTGCCTATATCCTTCATTCAGAAAGATGGCAAATTTTTCTGTTGAGTACCAACTGGTATCATCTCTGTGTCTGCAGCTGCTCTTGAGTCAAAAGGTGCAAGAAACGTTAAAGTGACTCCATTCAGATCTGAGTTCTTTTCCCAAGGTTTCAACTCCGCTGCAAAATTAAATAACTTTGTTTCAGACTCTCAGATAATTGGCCTCCCCTCCCTGCCAAGGGTTTCTATCTGTTTTTGCTAGAAGCTATTGCTAGGAAATTAATCCTTTATTACAGAAGTAGGAATTAGGCATTGATTTTTTAAATGTTTCTGAAGGTACTAGTCTCTCACTCTAAAAGAGTTTCAAGCCCTTTGAATGTGATATTTAAATGTGGCTCTTTTTTTTTTTTTTTTCTTTTTTTTTGTAAAACACTCTGGGCTTACTTACCTATACCTGGTGGAGGCAAATATTATGGCAAATGAGGTGTTTGTCTAACACAGCTGTCCCTCTAGTATTGGTTGATGCACAAGTAATTTTTTGGAAGACATTTTATAAATAGTTGATGATGAAAATAAATCAAAAATATGTTGTTTCCTATTTTTTCTCAATAGTTTTAGGTCAGCCTCTTTTTACTTGAAATTATATTTAGAAATTTAAAAGAACAGTAAAACCCCACTTATCCAGTAGATACACATTAAGAAATAGTAATCCTTTAGAACACAGTTAAAACCTCTAATCCTAAAAGAACTTTAAGAACAGGGAAAGGGAAATAGGTAACAATAAGGAAAATCACTAGTTTTACATAGTAGAGAAGTTGCTGTACTGTTTTCTCTACTTTTCTCTATGTTGTTCATAATGAAACAAAACAAGACAAAAAAGTAAAAGAAAAAGAAAGCTTTAAAAAGCTAGGAAATTATAGGAAAAAATATATATTATGAAATAATAAATAAAAGAAAGTTGATAAAGCACACCAAATTAATAGACTGGAAGACATCAACAGTGTAATAATTTGCATTGAATCAAAAAGTATTTCAAAAATTCTGTACTTATTAAAAATATATAGAGATTTAGCACTAAAACAAAATATAATGTATAGACTGGGAGGCTAAAGGAAAATGTCATGATTTGCAGTTTTTATGATTTTCCACACCACATCTCCAAAATGATACATTTGCAATCTCATAACAAGCAATAAGAGGGCTCAGAAATAATGGGAACAACATATAAATCAATGTTCCTGTACCTAGAAGTAACCAACTAAAGTATACATATTTGAAAATGACCCCATTTGTAACAGTATCAAAAGTGTTAAGTTACTTACAAAAAATAACAAAACATATGCAAAATCATTATGGTGAAAGTAAAAAAGATATTTTGAGATACATAAAAGAAGTCCTGAGTATATGGAGAAATAAACAGTCCTTATAATTCAGAAGGTCAATGTCAGGATTTCAGTTCTCTCTGAATTGACATATACATTAAAGGCTATCTGAATAAAAATTTCACCAGTAATTTTATAGAATGTTGCAAATTGATTTTTAAATACATGTGGAAGGATAAAGGGCAAAGAACGATCCGAGATTATTTTGATAGTAAAGTAATTGGGACTTACCCTCTCAGATATCATCTGGTTACTAAAGTGCTGTTTAACAACATGGTCTTGGTGAAAGAACAATAATATAATTCAGTGGAAGGAATGAGAGGGTCCGTAAACAACCAACACGGTCATGTGGGAAGCTGATGTGTGGCAGAGGTGGGCATGTAGATCAGTGAGCAAAGTATGGATCCCTTCAGTAATCTAATTCTGAAGGTTGACTGTACTCAATATTTTGTAATAACCAATAAGGGAAAAGAATCTGAAAAAAAAAAGATATATATGTGTGTATAACTGAATCACTTTGCTGTACACCTGAAACTAATACAACGTTGTAAATCAACTATAGTTCAATTTAAAAAAGTGAAATAAAAATAAAAGTTGGCTATATGTGAGGATGGAGTTCAAATCGGATGCTTGTTTCCAACGATAAACCAAAAAGCATTTGAGACAAAACAAGGAACACCCCCACGCACACATACACCCCCACACACACAATTACCTTTTGGAAGAAAACACAAGGAAATTGCTTTATCACCTCAGGGTAGCATATGATTTCTTAAGTGGAACATTGAATATTAAATGGCAGAAATGCTAAAGTCAAAGATTAATATGTTTGACTATATTAAAAAACAAGACACTGTTTCAACCTAAGTTTTCATTGATAAGAGAGTATAATGGAAAAATTGCAGAACATTCATTGGAATGGGGTACCATAGATCAGGTAAAATGAATATACTTGATTTATACATAACACCACCAATAGATCTATAAAACATAGTACTGAACAAAAAAATTCCAGAATGATCTCAACATTTTGATACTGTTTATGTTATTTCTAATATAAACCTTATGTCTCCTCAAGTGTCAAAGATTCACACTGATCATCATCTTCTTGTGGCCATGCAGCCTCAAAATGGGAAGATTTTTATGGATAAACAACAAGGTCCTACTGTACAGCACAGCGAACTATATTCAGCATTCTGTGGCAAACCATAATGGAAAAGAATATGAGAAGGAATACATACACATATATATATATAAATATATATAACTGAGTCACTTTGCTGTACAGCAGAACTTAATACAACATTGTAAATCAACTATACTTCAATAAAATTAAAAAAAATATTTTAAAGAGACTTCAGAAAACTGAAGTTTTTATCCAAGGTATTTGAATTTTTCAGCATTGGCAGCCTCTTTGAAAAGTAATCATTCTTTCTAGTTCATATACACTTCACTGTTGTCAAAAATTGGCCTGTGGCCAACCTCTTCGTGACTTTTGGATTTTCCACACTACTTTTCCTAAATTCTGGTACATTGAATCCAGCAGCAAAAAACTCTGAATAAGGTTGATAGGGTAATGAGGTTTCCAAATATGGGAACTCTATTCCAGAGTGTGACAGGCCAACTCATTTCTCTGTCTTCCTTATTCTGCTACCAGTTCTAAAACTGTGTTAGTCATCATGTGTGTATCTTTGTGTGTGTGTGTGTGTGTTTTAACCTATTTGGAACTATATAGAGAATCCTGGGTTTAATCTCCTTAAGCCAATGAATAGGAATTGAAGATTGCTCCCATACTGCTTTTTCAAGCAGTCATTTTGTCTGTGTCTTCCAATCAGGTGTTTTTAGTCACTGTCTGGAATTTTGAACTGTACATGATCCCACTGGCATTATCGCTCCTCTTTGTCTACAATTTCATCGGACCTACATTGGGGAAGGTTGGCAGCATCCAGGACAGCCAGGTGAGCAAAGATTCCAATAATTCTGACATTTGACTAAAGAAAAAATGTGTTAGCAGTAAACCACCACCACCAAATCATGACCCAAGTCCCCTGCATTTGAGGAGCAACACTGCACATGTATTCATGTTACAGGGAAGATATTTATCATGTGTAATCTGGAGCCTTCTTCCTAGAGCATCTTGTGTTCCTGAGTCTTGGCCTGCCTTCTTAGCCTGAGTGAGCCATCTGGTTCTTGGTCAGCATTTCCATGCGGGCAGCACATGTCTGCGTGCCCATCTGGTTCTCCATAAGGTTCCTGGGAATGAGATTCTCAATCACTAGAGAAAAGCCTTTGGTGGCTCCTTGAGCCCCTTCAGGGCACACACAACTGGGAGGCTGCCTCAGGCCTCTCCATATAATTATCCTGTGCAATATTCTCCTCTAGGCTGAAGCCTCAGGGGATGCTCTGAGGCTTGCCAACTCCCAGGGAAAGCAGAGAGTGCGTGGGCATGGGCCCCTCTGTTCTTGAGTGCCCAAGTTTTTCTTGCAGTTCTCAAACTCGCCGTGGTGTTAAAGGAAGCACAGGCAAGGCCTCTTCTCAAAGACATCGCCCAGCATTTACTTTTCTTAATTTTTCTCCAGCTCTCCCTCCCCTACCCCTCTTATCCCAGCCCATAGAATCTTTTTCTGCTCTGGGTTAGAAGGAACTTGTATTTAAAGACTTGCTTTATGATATAATCTTGGCATTCCAGATTCAAGAACCAAGTTTTTAAAACAAAAATCAAAGGTCTTGAGACTTGATAACATCCTTTAGAAAAATCACCTGCACATTAGGTTTTCTAAGACTCAAAAGCTGACCATCTTCACCTATTTTTCCTTATAAATGTTCTGATTATTTTAAGAAATCATCTCTGAAATAATGGATATTTAAGGAATGTTTCTGGTTTCATTTGGGATGGGGGAAATGAGTGTTATGGCCGGGAGTAAAACCTCAGACAAATTCCAAATTCTGTTCTGTTTGGTTTTTGATTGTGTAGTGCAATAAGCATGTGCATATATCAATAAATGAGGGGCCTGAAGATGCTAGAACCAAGTAACAAATAAATAGCTTTAAAGTACAGGTTTATGTAAGGACTAAGTTTCACAGAGGTACAGATGAGGGAAATTTTTACAGAGAAGCATCTGTTGTAAAAGTGCTGTCAACTAACATTTTTACAGTTTTAATCAGATTTTATTTTCCCAGGTATATATATGTATACGTTTATAGCGTGTGTGTATATATATGTGTATATGTACATGTGTATTTGTAGGCAGGTATATATATGTATATATGTGTGTGTATGTAAACATGGGTACATAAGTGTACTTGTGTGTGTATGCATATAAATGTGTATGTGCGTGTATGAAACCTTTTACATTTACTAAACATTTTCTAATTTATTACCTAATTTAATCTTGGTAACATAACCATGAAGAGTCAAGAACTACTGTTTTCATTTCATGCTTCATAAAGCTAACGTTCACAGTGGCAAAGTGATTTGCTCAAAGTCACACAGCAAAACAGTGCTGGAACAATGTCTCCAGCTGAAGACTTTGTCTCAAGATGAAGACTTCTGACTCCTAATTACATTAGAGTTTTTTCCTCCAATAACATGTTTCATTGTATTCATTTTTATCCATGTGCTTTTATGAAACATGCTTGTTGCCATCATTAAATACGTTAGTTCTCCAGCATCAGTAAGTATCCCACAGACTGCTAGGTGGAGCTCCTAGGAATTCTGGGAGGTAATACAGTACCAGCCCTGAAGAAATTGCTCAGTAGTTTATGGAGGATAGCAGAGTGCTGTCTGGATACTTCAGAGTTACTCCCTTATACAAGCATTATATTGACCATTCTTTTTTCTATTGGAACAATGGCATCTAATTAGCATGCCTGACCTTTGCAAGGTTAAGCAGAAAGGTAAGTGTTCAAATTGAAAATAGTCCTTGGTTTTCTGATACCCAGCATTCTTTTGAAGCTACCAAATCGTTGGATTGTGTACCAACGTGTGTTAGCTTTTAAATGTAGCAGCGATATGATTCAAGTGTACCTGTTAACTAGCCAAGATCTCTAAATGAATCTGAACAAGCCTCTGTGCAGCACAGCTGGTGCTGGGGCCCCTGAACTAAAGGCAGTCCCCCCTTTAGTCCAGATCTGAGCCTTGAGTTTCCTTCCCTCACCTGCCCCCCACCAACCCTGAAGCCCAAGGAAAACAAGAATGCCATATAGAAACCTGTAGCTTATTCCTGAGATTGATGACATTCAGACTAATGCATCTAATCCTGTCTAATGTTTCGGTAATGGACCCAGAGGAAAAGTGCAGCCCTTCTAACAGTGAGCCCAGCACAGACGGAGTGTGGTGTTCTCAGCCTTAACACAGCAGCTGCTTCATTTGTCAGACTCAGAACAAAACCGTTTACAGATAGTACAACTCCGCAATGCATTTTTAAAGCTGGCTGCCTTCGAAAGGCACTCCCCTAATAGCTTTATTTATACTTAACAGTTTTACGTAGATTATACATATTGTTTACAACCTTGGCAAGGCATCCCTTAACTTTAAAAGTGTCCTTTATAAAGAAGTTACAGTGTTTTTTTTTTTTGTGGTACGCGGGCCTCTCACTGTTGTGGCCTCTCCCGTTGCGGAGCACAGGCTCCAGACGCGCCCGCTCAGCGGCCATGGCTCACGGGCCTAGACGCTCCGCAGCGTGTGGGATCTTCCCGGACCGGGGCACAAACCCATGCCCCCTGCACCGGCAGGCGGACCCCCAACGACTGCGCCACCAGGGAAGCCCTACAGTGTATTTTAAAAAGACTAGTGTTGCAATGATATAGGAAAACTTTAAGCATGAGTATGCATTTCATTCGTAGTCGGTAATTTCGGTTGACGTTTTATTACAAATTATGGATTTTCCTTACAGGAGAGCACGGATACGGATGAGGAGAAGTATGAAGATGACAAGGTGGGTGTGCTCGAGAAAGGACACAAAGGGGGAACATGACTGCTTCCAGTGTTCTAGCCGGTTGAGTCAAACTATATATATATATATATATATATATATATATATTTTTTTTTTACTACTATAGGGTGACCAGTATAGCGATATTCTCATAATGTATAAAGGGTATCCCTTTTTTAAGATTCTTAAAATGAGGATGAAAAGGGACGAAATATAAGGAATAACTGAAATGTTATAGAAGCATCCCTCTAGGAGGCCTGTCATTTGAGGCAAAGATTAGCCTTCCCCTTGGTGGATGAAAGGTAGATGAAAGGTAGCCCAGGAAGTCAAAAGTAAATCAAGTGCAATCGCTATTCCTTTAGGCTCATGTCTGCACTTTGCAGGGTGGTCACCCGCTTCAGAACCTGTCACTTGCCCAGCTGTTGCTGGCAACGTTTTCAGCTCTACGTCTGTGTACATCTGTCCTTTCTCTCCTCCTGGGAGATTCTCTCAAATCTGCTACTTTTTGTTGTCATTACGCTTTCAGACAAACCTTCTGGAATAAAATGAAAAAAAAAAAAAGTGAAATGCCAAATGAGACGCTACTAGCTTCACGGCCGCCCAGTCCCCTAGAACCTATGGGTCTACGGGGCTAAGGTGATAGTGTGTAGAAGGCTGACAGGAGAGGAAGGGGGCGAACGGGGGAAACTTAAGAGTTAAGTATCCAATATAAAATGTCCAGAAAATAGAAACGAATTTAAAAACACTAGCTCCATGACACAGACAGCCTTAAAATTAATTGAGCAAGCCAGGTGGTTTTGCCCATTTGAAGGATGCTGGGCAGATTACAAAGTAAATCTTATTTGTTGTGCTAAAATGATCATTAATAGCAAAGTAATAAAGTATATATTTTTTTAAAGGGAATTGACCCTTTTTAGAATGAAGGTCCCAAGATGCAACTTTTTTCTTCTTCTTTTTTTTTTTAATTAATTAATTAATTAATTTTTGGCTGCTTTGGGTCTTAGTCGCTGCACGCGGGCTTTCTCTAGTTGCAGCGAGCAGGGGCTACTCTTTGTTGCAGAGCACGGGCTCTAGGCTGGCGGGCTTCAATAGTTGTGGCTCGCGGGCTCTAGAGCACAGGCTCTGTAGTTGTGGTGCACCGGCTTCATTGCTCCATGGCATGTGGGATCTTCCTGGACCAGGGATTGAACCCGTATCCCCTGCACTGGCAGGCGGATTCTTAACCACTACACCACCAGGGAAGGCCTGCAACTTTCTTCTTGATGAATTGACGTGAGTGGCTTCTGAGTGATGTAACTCCTTGAACATTAAAATAGTCATAGCTAAGCTAATGTGCATGAGGGGGTGTTTAACCAAAGGAAACACAGGTATTAATTAAATTATTTTAAACCTACATTAGGCATAATTATCAATTTTATTAACCAAAGTTTGGAAGTGAAGAAGATTTCTTTCTCTTGGACCAAGTCTGTGTAAACGAGCCACCCCATGGAAGGAGGATGCCATCCACCCTTGAGAGATAATTGTGACCATGGGGCTTTGTCCCATCTGATAAAGGAGACATCTAACAAGAAGGCAATGGATGAAAAAGTGGTGTCGATGAACTGTCAGGCAACAGATTGAGCCATGAAAGTCTAGACCAGTGTTTTTCACCATCTAACCTTCCATTGTGGTCCTTCAAGGGCTGTCTGGGGGCCTGGGGGTGTGGAGGTAGAGCCATTTGGGCTGTGCATCAAGCTTTTCTGGGCAAGGATAACTGAGTTGGAACTACAACATCTACATGCATGAGCCTGGGAGCTCTTGCGTTCATCCAAGCACAGCCCTCCACGCAACAGTTGTGGCAGCCCATCCCACACTGAGGACGTTGGCTCTGGGGTTCTTCATGTCTCCTCCAGGGCCATTCCATTCTTGAGATACTTTGATTGTAGTATGTTTGTAGGGCCTTTAATAGCCCCACGTGGCCATGTTTGTTTTGCTTCCTCAATTTCATATTTCTGTGGAAACTTCTAGAGGAATAAGTCTGAAATGAAATGTTGACTTCTGTTTGTGCCTCTTCTGCTGAACACACGCCTTCTGTTGTGAGGGGATTTTGGCAAACTTTGCAGTCTTTTTGCACGTCTCTTCACTCTCACTTCTCTAAGAGATGGGTAAACTAGAGCGGTTTTCAACTTTTAAGACTTCGGGAGCATACATCCACCTACATATTATTACACTTCATCATTTCTTCTCCATGTAGAGCAGCCTCCATGCCTGGGATGGGCCCCTCAAGCACACAGGCCCTGGGCCACTGCCCTCCACAGTGTGCTGACTCCAAGGGCTTCCCCACAGCGCCCTTCTGGCTTCTGTTGTGTGTTCGACATGACAGACGGGCTTCTGGGAACTGTAACACACCCAGTGAGAGATGAACTGTTTACAGATTATAAACACACAGCCGTCTCCTTCCAAACCAGAAGAGGAGAGGAACTCCTTTCTACCCAAACAATCCATCTTGAAAGTGACACTCCTTAATTGCCAGCACCCCTTCCCACCAAATACCATCATGGACGACTGTGGAAGATGAAAGCATGCTGGGGCCCCTTGGCACAGCTTCCTTGGGAGATGGACACATTCCCATATTCTGCCTGTCTCTGATGCACAGGCCAGGACATGGTCTGGGGTCTGTCATCTTTTTATTGTCTGGAACAGGGATGGTTGTAAAATGACATCACTATAGCCTCTTGCTTCTTCTCATTGTTGAAAGTCCATGGAAAATGACCTGCATTTTTAGAAACCAAATTAGGCTCCGCAGTTTTGCCTTCCTTTCTTTTTGTGGACTTTCAGTTACAATGTAGAACTTTCAGGTCACTAGTTTTTTGGCTTTTAGGAAACTAAATGTACAAACTAAACTTTGAGGAGAGGAGATTTTTCTTTCTTACACCTGATGGTTCCACACAAGAAATTGCTTGTTACAAGTAGAGTTTGCTGGGGACCCCAGAACAAACAGATAACGGCTAAGTTCAGCCAACAGCAATCAGCTGACATTTCCTATTTGTATTAGATTCCATATGTGCAATTCTTCTATGTGGACCTTATTTGTACAGATGGATTACAATGAAAATTTCGTTAATTTTCTACACAGTAAAGGTCAGTAATTGAAGCGTGAACCAAGAAACTATTGTGTAAAATGCTGTATCTCATATTTAGGAAAGGTCATGCAGGGCAATAATATCTTGTTTTCATTGCAGAAGGTATAAATACTTGCATTAGAGTTTCTTTTCTTTTTTCCAGCCCAACAATCACTTAGGTAGAATATTTCAGCATTTACTAGTAACATCAGGAAGAAAGAATCATAAGGGCATGTAATAAAAAAAAAAACCCTGCCTATTGCTATCATAAAGAGACTGCATTGTGATGCCTGCATTGTGGGTTGGTTTGTTTTTAACTCAGCTGTCAGAAATAGGACTTGAATCATCTGTTCTTTTAAGATTATCAATGAGTTCACAATTGCTTTACAGTGTTTGGGGGGTGGGGATCATCCTTTCATGTCAGTTATGGGTGAAAAACAGATATGGATGTTTTCCTTTAAGAAAATAAGAAATATCTGATACATTTTTGTTGATTGATGGTGGAACGTGGTGGAACATTTTATAATGAAAGGATGCAAATGAATATTATATCTCTATTCTCTTTTCACAAATTAGGATGATATTATTAAAATTTAAGTATATTTTAAACCATCAATCTTAGTTGTAAAAATGATTTTCATCCTACAAATAGATTAGTTCACTCATCATTACCCAGGCAGAGCCTTCTTAGAGAGAGAAGGATGTGGCGTATATATCAATATTTATTATGTATCAATATTTAGGAGTTCTTGTTGTAAATTAACCTCATAGTCCTTTGGTTGAGTTGTTCAGGGCCAGCATAGCTCATGCCCTGTGTTTTCTTGTTCCAGAAAGAGAAGATGATCTATAGTATCTCAACCAGGAAAGACTCGCTCTTGGAGGAAGTCTTCTTACAATTTAGTAGTGAGAGTAGTTTTGTTTATGATTCCTTTGTGCCTTCTTAAGAATGTCAGAAACAAAGCAAATTAGTTTGATCAGTGATTTTTTTTTTGTAACTATTGACTAAGCCATGGTACTTTAAGATGGTGTAATATTTTTAAGAAAATGAAAAGTCAGGTAATATCTTTGAAAGGTTAACAATAGTTGAATACACACACATATTTTCAAGGCATATACAGTCTATATACAGGGCATGTTGTAGAGGACCTACTCATGGATAATTTTCAGGGGAATAAAGTAAATGGTTGTTCCAATGTAACTCCTTTTAATTTGAATTAATATTATATTCAGTGATGAAGTGATTTAATTGCTAACATTTCAACTGTACCATCTTACTTCCAAGACTTTAATATTAAAATGGATTCCAGCCAATTCTTAATTATCAGTTTATGCATGTTTTGCATGAAAAGGGATCGGCTTCCCTATTTCCTGCCGTCTTTTCTCTGAACCATTGATTTGCTCACATCCCTTTTAAAAACTCAAACTTCCATTCTTAAAAACGTTTGGCTTCATTACCTTCAGAAATAATCCAGAAATGTTATTAATCTGACATTTGAAGCATTATTCTGCTACCAGGTTCACTAATAGCCCCAGTACTTATGGATTTTCTTTGTGATTTGGTAGGATTATACTTGGTAGGTTACTCCCAAATATTGTGAAATATGGTGTGCCAGACTATAAATTAGATGGATTATCCATCCTTTTATTAGCTAATGTGCACTAACTGGTGCTCTGACGTTATAGACTATACTACATCTGGATATTTATCTTGCCGTGGTCTAAAATTTTTACATTATGCTAATATAGAATACATTGGACATTGTATCTCAATTATCCACAAGTCATTATTTTTCTGAGGATAGTAACCATTCCTACAAGAGGAATTTCCTATTGAAATCCACTCTGTTTCAGTGTGGTTTGCCTTAAGTCCCAATTATCCACAGAGTTTGCAAGGTAATTGATAGATAATTTGCAAAATAATTGATAGAAAGGTGGGGACATCACTTTTTCCTCAAGGGAATATAGTAATTTAAAGTAAGTAATAAATGACACAAAAATAATAATTTAAAATGAGACCATTTTGAGTAAGAATTATTTAAATGATTAGATTTATAAGATTATTCTTATTTGTAGAGTGTTTACAATTTGCAGGCTGTTTTTATATGCTTTAGCTCATTCAGTACTCAAAGTAAACCATTAAATTTGATATTATTTTCCCCATATGCTAATGAACTAACCCAGGTGAAGAGAAATATAATAATGCATCAGAGATTTCCCAGCCAGGATAGTAGCGAGACTCAAATCCAGCCCTTCTGATCTAAATCCTGTTTATTTTGGACTATGTTACATTGTTATGAAGGAAACATGTCATTAATTTATTGGTCCATGTTTCCGCATTATTATTGACAACCTTTATGGAGTGTTTTCTCTGTATCTGTGATTGCTACTTTCATCAGAATTTGTATACTACGTTGGGTGTTAGCGATGCAGTGCCTGGGTGAGTCAGGACTGCTAAAGGTGATGTTTGAGCTGAGTCTTAGGTGATAAATATTTTACCTTCTACCCTCCTCATTCCCCCACCTCAAAGAAAGATAAAGGACATGCACAGCTAAATCAGCAACTGCAGCTAATTGTGTGTTTACCTATGGTAGTGACAGTTATAGAAAACCATTAGCCCTGTTTGCCTTGTAATGGCGTGGCATCTGTCAATTGGCTCAGAGAAACTTTTAAGGAAATCAATCTTCCCAGGGTCTAATTCCAAATATTTTTTTTTTCCAAATTGTTCCCAATTTTTCAAAAGTGTTTCTTCAACATCTTCCTCATGATGATGTTTATTCCTTTTACTTTTTCAGCCCTCTCATTTGATCCCTGATGAGAATCCTGTTGCAGGCCAAAGAAACGTGTTGGTAAATACCAGTCAGTGTAGAAGGAAGGGCTCTATGTAATGAACAGATAATTAGAGCAGTTTATAACTACTTAGAAATGATACTGGTTCAAAATCCAGTCTGTTTCATATTCATTTCCCAAAGCAAAAACACTACTTGAGAAGGAAGTATTCTCCTGAAAGACTGCAGACTTTTCCCCCCATTTTAATAGCATACCATAAAGGGGTGTGTGTGTGTGTGTGTGTGTGTCCGTCCATGCACACAGGACATAGCTCATGGGAAGAAACCTTAAAGACAGTTCCCAGTGCATTAAGCCAGATTCCCAAAGAACAATTTTTAATCTCGTGTATCAGAAATATTACTTTTTGTTCTTTGTTATGACAGATGCTGAGAGGTTTTTTTTTTTTTCCCTGCGAAATGCCACTCAGTCTATTTCTGATGTTTATAATTCTTCAGGTTTTCAAATTGCAGGCTTTTAATATTCAGTGGGATGAAACAGACCAAACAGATTCCCATTTAAAGTCTAAAGTCGTATTTTTGCGTTATCTTTGCCCTGGGTGGTTGGCATTACTGGGACGATCCTGAGATAGAAATTTTGCATCAATCCCTTGTGGGAATCCTGGGCATCCTGTGACAAATACTACTCAGTTTTTAAGCATGTCCCAAGAATCTTTCCTGACGTGGTCAATTTTCAGGACTAGCTCTTTGGTTTTGCTTAGGTAATTAATAGAGAAATGAGAAATTTTTTTCCTGAACCAGAACATATGGGAAAGATTTAAAGTAGCATACTGATTATATAATGAATTTTTAGCTGTAAATTCATTTTGATGGTGTTAATTCTCTCCCAGAGGCTCAAAGCTAGTTTATTGCACCTACAGTGCTATGCTCTTTGGAGACATTGGGGAAGCCAACAAAGCCTTGAAGAAGAAAAAATCCACTGCATGACTGATTCATTTATTTATTTATTGGCTTTGTTCTTAAAGAACAACCATGTTACAACACAGGCACATTATTTGTTCTTCAGTCAACTGTCTCTAAAACTTAGCCACTAAAGACTCAGTGTTGTTTTTCTTTTTTTTTTTTTGACATTTTATAAACAAAAGGACAATGAAAAAATGATGATCTTACATACATTTTATATAATAATATGCATTTTTAGGTTACAGATTTGGAGTTTGTCATTTTTCGTACAAGTATTATTACAGTTACATTATTATTCTTACAGTCATTCTCTGTAGTATATAACAAAGCAAAGGAACCTTTTGAACTTTGAATTCTGGATCTGAAAATTTCCATGCTTTCATCTCTTCTGTCATACATTATTACCTATTTGCTCATAAAGTAGGCCCTAAATCATGCGAATTTTACTTATGCCTTGGTGTTTTTTTCAAGTAATGAGAAGTAAAATCCATTCTTTCTGAAATGAAAGAATCTAAAAAAACGTGTTCAGCCACAATTATCTTGTTCATTGGTTTAATCAAACCAGTGGCCATCACTATTTTTATTACACATTTCCCTCTATAAATTAGAAGCCTTATATGTTAAGGAAAAATATAAGCACATGTGATAACAGTTTCCTTTTTCTGAATGAATCACTGTTACTCTTCCTAGGCAATTTGGTAGCAGCCGCAGATGTAATGCTGTGTTTGCTAAACTGTGTTATCACCACATTCCCTGGTTCAATCTGAAATGTGTAAATAAAGCCAGCATGATGCAGATAGAACTGCCAGATGATCTTTCGTACAACGCAGGGCAACATGAGTAGACTTGTCCTGGAAGATCGTTGCTTTTGAAACTTAAATGAACCCCAGGATTCTTTAAACTAGACAAAAGGTTATTTGTTCTTTTGTCTCTTCGCATTCTTGAAGGGCAAGGACTTATGTTTATGAAGCACCTGGAGTGTACCAAATGATTTGCATATGATACAATATTTAATTCTCCAAATACTCCAGTCAGGGTCAGGATTGTGATCTCCCTTTTCCAGATAGCAGAATTGTGACTCAGAACCCAGTAGGAACTTGACATGATCACAAAGCTCGTAGATAACAAGACCCATGTTGAACTCACTTCCCTCTGACTCCATAGCCTGTGATTAATAAAATATGCAGGCCTGTGGAGTTGGTACATCTTAAGTTTTTTTTGTTTTTTGTTTTTTTCCCCCTAACTTTGCATCTGTTGTAAACCCTGGCTACTCCAGCTCCTAGGTAAGAATGAATGCATTTTGTTATAATGTAAATTATGGTATGTATTTTATGCAAATTATACATAAAGTTTGCTAAAATGTTTAGCAAGAAAAGTTAAAAAATAAGAATGGAAAGAAATGTTTTTCCCCAAATATTTTCAAAAAGTGTAATTTAACATACATTCTCATGAAAACTGGGCAAATAATACTGGAAATGAACAGTAGATAGAAATATGTAACTGAATGAAATGTCTACAAATCATGTATTATATAGTGAGTCTAGAGAACAGAGATCCATAGACACTAAAGAAGCAAATGACAAAAAGAACAAGTGTGAGCTGAATGTGTACCTTGTGAAATGTCCACTAGGAAATGTCCACTCTTCCTTTGGGCTTAATAGCCCTGGACTGGAATTCTCTGCCACATATATGTGAACATAGACAAATGTGGACATAGACACATCACTTAACCTCTTCGTACCTTGGTTTCCTATTAATGGAAATGCTAATATCAAAGACATATAACATGTCCATTGGTATACTGGCAGATATAATTAAAGAGCCATGAAATCAATAGTACATGTTTTAAAAGATAAAGTTTGCAGTGTAGAGAGTGAAAAGAACATTTGCTACTAGAATGATGAAAAGAGTAGAGGTGTGATGCAAATTGAAAGAACAAGACTGTAGTTGGCGTGGACTGGCATCCCTAGGAAAGATTTCACGAAGGCCAGGAGTATAAGTTGGACCTTTAGGTCATTCTGCTGGAGTTGGGAGCCTGGAATCTGACTTCTTACTTCTTACTGTTTGATAATGCTTTTTCGGTGAGTAAATAATAATAATAAAGAGTACATGTTTAATGAATAATCAAGTACTGACAATCCATTTCTCAAGATAATTGTTGACAGACTAACTGATGAATGTCTGTTCACATTTACTGTCTACCACTGGGACCATGATCACATCACTGAAACATGTAAACTTAAGTTACAAACCTGCTGAAGAGCCTTCAGCTGTCAATAGTTACTTTTAGAAGACTATTTCTGGAAACATGATGTTAATTTACACAGCCCGAAAGATGTGTTTACAAATCTCTCTGTGCAGCATGACTTTTCTTTTAGATCAAATGACTGTTCTTCCACATTTATCTCATCTTCCATTCCAAGGTTTAATTATGCATGTATGAAAAAGGGCAAGGAAGGTATTAATGTGTTGACTTCAATTGCATCAATATATTAAAAACCTTGTGAAGGGTCAAATGATACCAGTCTTATTAGCATGCCGTCAAATGATTCAAACAGAATATCAAATAAGTTAATTCTGAAATTGTTGTACTCATACAATACCTCAATCAATGAGGCATGATTATTGCTAATTGAAAACTTTTCCAATACGCCACCATGATGACTTGAAATTATGATTTTTTTTCATCCACTATATGGAATCAAAATAAAGTTTTTGCAAGTTAATTTTACAAACAATGAAATCTCTGACAGCAGGAATGCTATTGTAAATTTAGTTTAAACATTTAGCATTGAGGGTTATTTAATTTTGTAGTGATAATGTGAATGCAGATTTCGATGAAGCACAGCATCATGGCTAATAAGATATTCATATAAATTGAAGGGATCTTTGAAGCAGAAATGTACAATTGATAGATCATGGTGCCCTGACTATCCATGATCGCATACAGACAAGTGATAATGCACCACCAATTGAATTAGAAGCTGTAGTGCCCACATTTATAAATATTTTATGTATACAGAGTTGGGATAGCAACAGCAGTTTTCATGGCAGAGATATGTTCAGATATAAAAATATACTTTCAGCATGGCACTGTGCACTTTGTTTTTGCTGCCAGTCGTCCATCCATCAATCTGATTTTAAGAATGTTTGAAACCTTTGAAGAACTCTCAGTCAACTTAAACATTCCCCAAAGCTATTGAACTCTTGTGAAAAAAAGAAATCTTTTAAATGTTTGTTGCATTTTGGTCGTATCAGTTGGAATTTTTTTTTTTTTTTTTTTTTGCGGTACGCAGGCCTCTCACTGCCGTGGCCTCTCCCACTGTGGAGCACAGGATCCGGATGCGCAGGCCCAGCGGCCAAGGCCCACAGGCCCAGCCGCTCCGCGGCCTGTGGGATCCTCCCGGACCGGGGCACGAACCCGCGTCCCCTGCATCGGCAGGCGGACTCTCAACCACTGCGCCACCAGGGAAGCCCAGTTGGAATATTTTTAATCAAAATTTTTGATGACTGAAAATGCTAAGTAACTTCATCTTTGGAAGCCTTTAGTAAATGGAAGTGAATTTTACAAGAACTGGCATAAAAGATATTTAATTTTTTTTCTTTACAAAAGAAAGGGATATTCAGCACAAAGCAAACTGTGAGGTCAAATAGTTGACCTATTTTTGCACGATTCAGTGTTTAAGTTCTGAAGTTACACTTTGGATTATCTCAATTTGTGGGATAAAAAAAAATTTTGATTTTTAATAGGATAAATATAAATTCTACCCAGGAATGGAAGGAAATTAAGAAGCCTTTAATTTTTCAGCATAAATTTTGTGGAGAATCATAGAGACAACTTATTTAAAGTTTTATCTTGAAAAAAGATTGACAGAGAAAGTTCATATGAATGGATACAAGATATCATGACTTTGAAATTATTTGGACAGAAATATATACAGATTTCAATATTTAAAATATAGAATTGAGAATATTCTTCATGTATCACATTTTTGTTGTGAGTTTTCAAGGTACCTCAGTGCCTGGAGAGAGAGTATTTTTGTAATTAAAATTATGGCCTACAGTAGAGTCAATTAAAGGTGTCAATTTAATGACCATTAAGTGCAATTCTGAAGATAAGTAAGAACAATTTTATGAAATATTATAAGTGAAAAGATGACATTAAAGAAGTACACTTTTTGGAAAAGTAATCTTAACATGGGACTATGAACAGATATAACTAGGAAACAAATTAAATATATGAATATGTAGCATGAATAATCATTCTTCATGTATCATTTTAAAATTCAGATAATATAAGCACATCTCTTGTTCTAATGCATGTAAAATATACTCTTTTTTTTAAACAATATCATTATGAAAGTTAAATGAAATAACTTTATAGATCTAATAAACCAAGTTGTCAGTTGATAAATATTTCAAAAATTTATAATTCTGATTGCTTTCACTCTTAAAAGTGTACAGATACGGTTCATAAATTATGCTGGTACCCTAGATACAGTGGAATTCTTTGGCCTAGTCTTTAAATATTGAATATTCAAACTAAAACATCAAATTCATTAAAAAGTAAAAGAACATTGTGAGAATCATTTATTATTTTGGTGTACTAACTCAGGCTTTTCTTCACAACCAGAACCTCCACATTTGGCTGTTCCATAGGGGGAAAAAAAAAAATCAGTCAACTAAAATAGGGAATTTTTATGAAATTGAGCCACATGGAAATTTGAGTCATTTTCCAAGAAATTGTTTTGACCTAAACTCTACACTGTTGAGAAGAGGAAGCCACTTTTGCCCTTTGGGTCAAATTCCCTGGTGCTTTCAAATCCTCCTTTATAAGCATGAATGCTTCTGTGACAGACAGAGATGGGTTTTCACCATTGTACCCATTAATAGATGTCGGTGGATTGCTGAAGATGAATTAAGTCACTCTGACAGTCTATCCAATTTTTGATGCGAACGACTTGAAGAATTAGAGTCAGTAAGAGAATAAGGGAAAGAAGAAATTTAAAATTGAGTGAAAAAGTAAAAATGTCTTGTGAGTTTGACTTTGCAAGAGGAAGCAATGAGTATGACCTCTCCTGTACAGAATGGTGGCATAAATGGGTACAGAACAGAAGGTAAGAAGTTATTCAAACCAGCCCAGCACCCTTACTCAAAAGGGGGTAGCAATGGTATATTCTAATCTCAGCCCCTCTCTTTGCTCTGTTTCTGCCAGTAGCTCCATAAACAAGGGCAGATGCAAGAAGGGAAATTTGTGCTCTTTGACATTTCAGCCATACTGGTGCTTTTACCAGTCACTGCAATCAGTATGGAGTGGTGTGTTTTCCTTCTTCCATCCATGGGTCCAGTTTGATGGGACAGAGAATACAAGATGAGAATGAATTATTTTTTCTTTTGCTGCAAAGAAGATTATTATAGAAATGGTCTCTTAAATTTAGAAGATATTTGCTCAATAATTTAGTACAATTTTAAGCCAAGTAAAATTTTAGGTAGAAAAGAAATAAGTTTTGTTAGATTTATTTGAGGTTTTAGGTACTATATGTTAGATGTGACAGCTACAGTGACCCAGCTAGGCCTGAGCTAAGAAGACACTAACTAAATCCCAGTTACAGTAGAGTTCATAAGGGAGCTAGGATATGGTATCAGAATATAAGAAATAGCATGAAAATGCCACTCTTCAGGGAATCCTCTTTTCTCCAATATGGGAGTAATTTCTAAATTATTTTTATAAACATTAGCTACCTAACATGGTAAAACACATTTTAGGTTTTCTATAAGCGAAGTAAGGGTAATATTCTTAGAAAGCTGAATTCCATATACAAAATCTGGATATCCAACATGCCTTATTGTTAACCTGCTGGAAACCTTTCTGAAGGACTAATGAGAGAAGGGTAAGTAAGCTAACCTTGTGAAGACAGAAGAAATCAGGGTCAGCCAATGGAAAGGATTGCAGAATTCTCTGAGAGAAGCAGCACCTCCACAGGGAAATGAAGTTCTTTTGTCTGTGGGGCTCCCCTTTAACAGCTCATGATATTGAGGTAGCGACATGCTTGCGCACTGCAAGTGGTCACATCTCACGAGTAGGCAGGGATCTGGGGGAGTCAATAAATAAGTTGTGAAAAACGTAAATTTATCTCTGAAGTCACTCTGTTGATAATAACCACGCTATGATAATATGGCATAATAATTTCTATAGCAGACCAATAGAAATGAAGTAACTGAGTTAAATCTTTTATGTTTCTTAGGAATCTGAGAAAAAGGGCTTAATTGAAAGAATCTATATGGTACAGGATATTGTCTCAACTGTTCAAAACGTCTTGGAGGAGATAGCTTCTTTTGGAGAAAGAATTAAAAAGTAAGTTCTACATTTGTGTTGTTGTGAAGTGAAACTGCCATCCACCAGGACAAACGAGGGTGGGGAGTCTTAGGAAGGATAGGATCAGAAAATGCAAAAACAAAGAAAAAACAAAAGCAACGGTCTGGGCCTTTTAACTTTGGTTGGTGTGTTCTTTGGGCTTGTCAATTTCACAGGGTGGCTGTATGGCCCAATTTACACCAGTTGTCCCAGCATAATTATTAATAGTGTCTCTATTCATTCTCAAAAATATTCTGGTTTAAGTGATAAGCTATAGATTAAAAAATAGATTGTCCTATACAGAAATAAAAAAGGAAGCAAATATGCTTTAAAGGAGGCTTTTTCATCTGAATCACAGAATACAGTAAGTGCCTTGAGTGAAATTTTTTTCTCTGTTCTCCAAAGAATGGTACCTAACTAGTAACATTGCAGATGCAAAGATGTAAAGTTAATTCATCACATACATGGACAGCTTAGGACAGGGGTCAACAAACTTTCTCCATAAAGGAACCAAGAGTAAATGTTTTCAGCTTTGGACTATATGGTTTGTGTCACAGCTGCTCAGCTCCCTTGTTTAAGTGTAAAAGCAGATAGTTCATATGTAAATGAATGGATGTGATATGTATTCCAATAAACCTTTATTTATAAAAACAGATGTCAGGCTAGATTTGACTCAGCTCCAACCCATAGCTTGCCATCCACCTACATTAGGGCATAAAGGCTAAATTCTCTAATGGAGTCTCAATTGACAAAAACTCTCTGTGATTCATGTCTTTATTTTTTTACTTATTTTGTTTTATACATTGTGAACTCTGCGTAACTTGGTCTTCATATGATACCAATGAACAGAGCAGGTTTTTTCTTTCTTTTGAATTGTAGATATTTGTTCCCCCTTTAAATCCAGAGTTGTGTCAGCCATGTTGTTCTTTCTAAAGATTAATTAATACTGTTTCTTATTTTATTGGCCATTCTAGTTTCTTTAAGTAAAGAACATAATATTTAGAAATTACATGGGTAAAGGAGAGACTAAAAATAGTGCTAAAAGCCAAGTGAAATTTTGTCTATCAAATGCAGGGAAATCAATAGGTGGTGATTAACATCAGGAAATATAAACAGCTAATACGGAACTTTCTGTGGTTACTGATGCTATTCCTCCATCCCGTATTACATGAAATTGCCCTTGAGTGTCCATTTATTGTTGGCATAGCAAACATGTTTCTTTTGCTTAAAAAAAAACAGGTTCAAAGTCATCTTCAAATGTAGTGAGTTTTTACTGAACTTACACATTGTTATTCCCACGAACAATGTCAAGAAAAATTAAAGAGCAGTAGGGGGCTTTGGTCATGTATATTGATATTTATCTGCTTTATTTCTCTAAGTTTCATATAAATTGAAACATGATTCCTGAATGTACCCTCAAAATTGCTTAGCAGAAACATAAGTGACAGTAGAAAATTAGTGAAATGATGAAGAGAGCATTTATAATTCTTCATTCACGCATTCAACTATCAGTGTTTGAGTTTCAGGCACTGGCTTTGTTTAAGAATGAGAAATGTGGGCTTCCCTGGTGGCGCAGTGGTTGAGAGTCCGCCTGACGATGCAGGGGACACTGGTTCATGCCCCGGTCTGGGAAGATCCCACATGCCGTGGAGTGGCTGGGCCCGTGAGCTGTGGCCGCGGAGCCTGCGCGTCCGGAGCCTGTGCTCCGCAACGGGAGAGGCCACAACAGTGAGAGGCCCGCGGTATAGAAACATCAACAAATGTCATGTGCCAGCCAGATACTGTTCTAAGCCCTTTACATAGCAACTTCTTTAAGGAGTTACTTAAAGGAATTGGATTAAATGATTCCAACAACCCTACAGAGTAAGGATTGTTAGTATCCCCATTTTACAGATGAAGAAACTGAAGTACAGAATGATTAAATAT